CAGGAAGCCCGGCCCTCCCCGTACCTTGCCGGTGCACTGGACGGGCAGGACATTGGGGCTGTACTTCAGCATCGGAAGACCCTCCAAGGTCTCATTCTTGGGAGGCTAAAAATAAAACCCGCATTGGTAAGTTTGTAAATAACCTAAAAACTTCTGAAAAGTAAAACGAGTTTGTACCCTAAACAAGCACACGTGGGTCCCGAAAGGTCACCTGAGACAGCAACACTCGCAGGGGCAGAATGAACGCGCCCGAGCGAGCGCGGGAAGGTCGCGTGATTCCGAGGCAGTGAAAGGTGCGAGTTGTGCGTGGACCCCCAGTCAGGCTGCGGAGCAGCCCAGCACTCAGTGGAGCTTCCGCCGGGAGCTGTTAGGGGCCCCACTCAAGGACGGGGAAAGCGAGGCCCCAGAAACAGCATTCCTCGTCCGCTAAGACGAGTAATTAGACGGGACAGTTGGTTGACATTTCTGTTTCTATAAACCTGGGCTTTCCTCCCAAGCCATGACTAAAGAATGCGGGCCCCTCCCCTCCCCCTCCAGTGGGGGCACTGCCACTCGGGAAGTCCATCTGCAAACAGACAAAGGGGTGCTGCCCTGAATGACGGGTCTCCAGGAGGGGCCCACCGTCAAAGGGACCCAGAGCAGATGGAAAATGACAGCCACCCCCTTCCTTCCTGCACCCCTGGCTCAAACCCAGCTCAGAGGAAGGGCTATGAATGTCTCGAGCAGGTGGGAGACGGCCACATGCCACTCACAGCACCGCATGTGCGTCCCGGCAGGAAACGTCACATACACAGTCTAACCCAGTCAGGATGGACAGTTCTCTGAGTCAGCACAGAACTGATGTTTCTGGTCCTATTCTCTCTTTGGGAACATCAGAAAATAACCTAGATTGGACTCATGGAAGTTTCTGCCAGCAACCCGCGCATCTTTAAAAATATGAAGGCGCCCGGCCAGGCGTGGCTCATGGGTGAGCATCGAGCTAGGATCCAGAAGATCGCGGTTCGGTTCCCGGTCAGCGCACGTGCGCGGGTTGGGGGCTCGATCCCAGCAGAGGGTGCGCAGGAAGCAGCCGATCAATGACTCTCTCATCACTGATGTTTCTATCTCTCTCCCTCTCTCTGAAATGAATAAAGATTAAAAATATATATATACGAAGGCAAAATTGAACAAAGAGCCAGATTCCAGAAGCGAAGTGAGTTTTGTTCGCGTAACTCAGTTATACTGCAGTTGATGCCTCTTGGAACAAAAACTGCGCCAACGGCAGTGCCCACATGGGCGACGGGGAACCTGCCGGAGACCAGCAGGGGAAAGAAAGGGGAGTGTTACCTACTCATGACCTCGCGGAGGGGAGAGAGAACTGCTTTTATAAAAGCAGAGACCCCACCAAGTTTTCCTTCTTTTAAAGACTCACTATTATCTTAGCACATGGTGGGCGCCAGCACTCCCCCTCCTTCAGGGGCCTCTCCAGGAATGCCCACCCACCCTAAGGTGCCGTGATGCCCACCCACCCTTAGATTGTGTTTTGCAAGGAAATCTTAATTCAGAAAAAAAAAGTTTTTTTTCAGACTACCAATTAATTTCTTAAAAATACTCTGGTACCAAGAATACCAAAACCAGAGTATGACTGTATGTGCAGGTAGTGTTTAAATTTAAAAATATCTTGCCTGGCTAGCGTGGCTCAGTGATTGAGCATCAACCTAGGATCCAAGAGATCTTAGTTCAATTCCCAGTCAGGGCACATGGTTGCGGGTTCGATCCCCAGCGGCGGGCGTACAGGAGGCAGCCGATCAATGATTCTCTCATCACTGATGTTTCTCTCTCTCCCTCTCCCTTCCTCTGAAATCAATAAAAATGTTTCTTTAAAAAAAAAACTTTTCTATTTTTACTTTTAAAGAGTTCACATCATAAAAACTGTTCTCTGGATACTGAGTCCAAGTATCGGAGGAAATGAGATTAAGGAGAAGCTATGAGAAGTCAAGGGGGGCGCAGAGGTTATGATGTTCCTCCACTGACGGCTGCAGAGGGCCTCGCCGGGGAGCCTGAAGCTCCCTCATGCCCTTGCTCACGCCGGGCAAGTGCCCCACGCCCAACGTGGGCGCCGGTCCGAGCTCCAGGGCGGAGAAGCGACTTGCCTTAGGTTTGAAGCCCAGGACCCTGTTGAGCTTTATGATGATGCAGGGCTTGCCCTCTTTGTAGCCAAATGATTCGTCGTTTATCCCAGAGCAGTTTCCCAGCCACTCGAGCTTGAACCTGCAGACCTTCCGCTCGCCTGGGTCACTGTCGTAGCCTCCTCGGTCTTTGTATTCGCTGGGCACACCTGCAAGTGAAAACGCAAGCACCGTGTTCACGCTGCTCCCGAAACTCCCCGCGCGGCGACCGGCACGGAGGCAGGGCTGCTCCGCCTCAGGGCGGCCGGAACTCAGCAAGGGTTCGAGGAAAGCATCTCATCTCCTCCCCAACGTGCAAAGGTCTTTTACCGAAAGCAACCGCCGGCGCAGAGCCCCACGCCAGAGCGTCAGCGTGCTTGGTAATTAGCACACGACAGCTGGGCCCTGGCAGGCCGTCTCCTCCTTAAATAACGGAGGCTCAGCTGCCGGGGGCTGCGGGGAAACGGACGCCGCTCCCCGCAGCCTCGCCCTCAGGAGGCAGATTGGAAGGAAGGCCGATCGTTTCCACGACTGGAAGTTTTTGGTCAGAATTTCCTGGGGCTGTGCCTCTAATTAGCAGGTTAAACAGTAAAGAGGGAAAGAACTGTTTGTTTTCCTTGTCAACTACCATGCAAGGGTTTTAAACAATTTTCTTTCGGATTCGAGTTTTTGTCTTTGAAAGCTCTGAGTTCTTATGCTTGTTAACTGAGAAGTTCTGTTGTAGCATTTTAATTAATCCTCATACCAAACTTGGAGAAAGAATCAAAGAATCCTGTAGAATATTGATGCAAATATACTTTATGTATATTTTCAAGTTCACAAATTTCCCCTTCCAGTGGTCAAGTGCCTCAGCCCAACCCACTGGGCCTTTAATTGCTGCAGAGAGAGATGAAAAGAAACTTCCTTTAAATTCTAACGAGAAAAACTTAGTGAAACGTTCCTTTTAAACCAGTAAATCTTTTCGAAATGACTTACAATGGCATTGCACCTCAAATTAGGATGAAGGGACAATCGGCCATGTAATGACCTGGGACTGGTCAATGCTGAAATAAAATCTGAAGGACTGATGCCACCTAGCAACCCAGAGGGCTGGTGGGAAGCTCCGTGTGGTTGCAGACAGTCCCGCCAAGGGCCACGGTGGCGAGAAGGCTCGGTGCCTCCCCGGGGGCAGAGCTCGCGGGAGGCAGGAATCTGGAAACACAAGCAACCGTCCTCAAAAGCACCAGTGCCAGAGAACCAGGACCGGACTTGTGGTCTTTGGGTCCAAGTAGTAAGAAGGAGATGTGTCTGGGTTTTTAAAGACATCTTTCAGATGTAATAATTATAACACTTGAGGCTACAGCTATATTGTTTCGTCCACTGCCTCCAAGCCTGAACCATAAAACGCCTCCCTGCCTTCAAAAAAAAGGCCCTGGCCAGGTGGCTCCGTTGGTTGGAGTGCTGTCCCGTGCACCAGAAGGTCATGGGCTGGATTCCAAGGTTGCGGGTTCAATCCCGGCTGGGGTGCAAGGGAGGCAACCGATCAACATTTCTCACATCAATGTCTGCCCCTGTTTCTCTGCCTCTGTCTCTCTCTAAAAAAAATGAAACGTATCCTCAGGTGAGGGTAAAAAAAAAGTCCTCTCAATATGGCCAGAGTTCAATCTTTTAATTATTTCAGGAGTACTGTTCAGTGATTAAATGACAAACAGAAACAGGAAATATGCATTAACCCACCGCAGAATCCAAAGTGAGTCTACTTACTGCCACAATCTTCAAAAATCATGTCGTCCTTCTGGGCAGAATCCTTGTACTTCTCCAGGAAGCGAACCATGCTCCGCACATACGCCTCGTAGCTCTTGGCCTCGCCCATGCGGAAGGAGATTTCGGTCTTTTGGATCTGAGGAACCTGCGTCAGTCCTGGACCAGGCAGAGGCAGGAAAACAGGAAAAGCATTAGTGGGAAGGAAGTCGACCGGGGGGATCCCAGCGCAGACTCTCCACGTACAGAACACTCTGCTCACCCCATCGGCTAAAAAGATCGAGTGAAATTCTCGACTCCTGTGAAGTCACTTCTCTGGCATTCAGAACAAAGTACCTAGGACTGTGTCCTAATATCATGTATCATTTCACACTCGCAGCAACATTTCACGACGGCGTTATCTCCAGGTTATGAAACACTTCTTGCACAGAGAGGTTAAGCACCTGGCGCAAGGTCACGGAGGAAGCGGTGGGACCAGAACTCCAGCTCTACGCTGTCATCCAGAGCCTGTCACCTGCCCGGCAGTCCCTCGTGCACACATGCCACCCCCGCAGGGCCAGCTCGCAGTCTGCAGGTGCCCGGCCAACGGCAGGCCAGCCCTGAGCGCACAGCGAATTAGGCCACTCCACGGCGACAGGACTCACGACTACGCAACAGAGATATCTCTTGGCTCTTCTAACCTAAACTGGAGGATTCAGGGATGTGTGAGGACCTGCTTCCATTCCAAAAGTAAATGGTTATTCTGAGGAAGTTCAGTGCCAGCCAAAGGAACATTCATAGGGTGTGCACCCTGGGCTTCCCCCCTTGACCCAGGATTCCAGGTTCTTTAATTTCCAGAAGACTCCACCATCACAAGACTTCCTAAGACGTGTGCACCGCAGCACACGGCCCGAGCAGGGGCAGTGGGCGGCCGGCACAGCGGAATTCTATCGGGATGCCAGGTGCAATGCAAGACGCCTGGTCCCACCTGAAGTCCAGATAAACCACGAGTAACGTTATGTAAGAATGGCCTACATGTTACACGGGGCATGTATTACAGGGGACATGCGCCATGAGTATCACACGGAACACACCTACATGAAAAATCACCTGTGACTTGTCCTTAGCTCAAATGCAACTGCGCCTCCTGTGCTTCTATTTGCTAACCCGGCAGCCCTGCTCCAACCCCCAGCCCACACTCCCGCCCTGTGCTGGGCACAGGTGGAGCCCCGTCACCTGCTTCAGGTCACCGCGCAGACAGGAAGACAATGACGCAACTACAGTGGAAGTGGCCCCTGGGGTACAGCAACCGCTGAGCAGCAGCCCAGAGGCCTGGGAGGGAGTGGGGCGGACCGTGGGTGGCCGAGACAAAGGGCTTCAGGAGTGGCACTAACAATCATTTCAAAAGCAGGGTGGGGACCTGAGGAATCCAGGGACACAGCCGTCAGCGGTGACGGAGGGAGTCGAAGGGGAAGTCAGCAGAACTCGCTCATAAAAAACAAATCTTCGGTTAAAAATAAACAAAGGTTACTACAATTAAAACATTTTTTAGGCCCCGGCTGGGTAGCTCAGTTGCTTAGAGTGTCGTCCCAATACGCCAAGGTTCACTCTCTGGTCAGGGCACATAAAACCACCAACCAATGAATACATCAGTAAGTGGAACGGCAAAACGTTTCTTTCTCTCTCAGATCAATAAATAAAATTAAAAAACGTTTTTTTAAAATGCTCCCAAGCCACAGAAAATTGTAGGTTGAAAGGAATTTAAATGTCCACTGAACAATCCTAAAATAAATTAGGAAAACTGCACGGAGATCATTTGTACCTCAGAGACACTATGATAAAAATGACTGCTACCTACTAAAATAAAAAAGGAAACTAAGCTCAGGTGAGGAGGGACTCCCACTGGAGCCTCAGGCTGGGCCCTGAGGTAACCAGGCCCCGCCCCACTCCGGGAAGGCCCGCCAGGGGAGGTCCTAACTGCTCCGAGCTAACAAGACACTTAAGTCAAGGTGACCTGCAGGCCCTGCGAGCTGGGGGTGCCGCAGAACCCAGGATGGGGGTCCTCCTAGAACAGTCCCTGAGTTGGGAGAGAATGGAGCCGAGGGACACTCCCAGGGATCCTGGGGAGAGCCAGCACTGGGCGCCCAAGATCTCAGAGGCACGCGCCTTTGGCTGCCAGGCAGGAGGTTCGTGAAACCTATTCTAGGTATTCAGTGTGGCAGGCGTGGGGACAGAAATGGGCAAAGCGATCGGCAGGCGCAGGGTCGCAGTCTCCCAGCTTGGGAAAGCGAAGGCAGGAGGGGGGCAGACGGAGAGGGTGGAGAGGAGAGCAGCTGCCAGAAACAGGAGCGGTCTCCCGACCCAGGCACCGGGACGTGGGCAGACTGGCCGGCTGACCACAGGGACACCAGTGCGATGGGCAACAATCACGCCGTCCACCATCCATCAGCGGAGCGGGAACACAGCAAAGAACAAAATGCTAACAGAATGCCAACGAGCCTGGTGAGACTTGGGGAGTCTCGCCCAACAAGTTAAAAAGAACAAAGTGACCCCAGAAGGGGGTATTGAGAGTAAAGCTGGCCAGCAAGCACCTAAGATCGGACTCGTGCAAACCGTGGATATCACAGCATGCAAAATGGTAGCAATGGCCCAGAAAGACCACCGGCCTCATGTCTCTCTGGACGGGGCAAAGCAGCAATAATGAAAACCAAGCAACGGAGGCACAGCAGTTCTCACCGCAGCCCGAATCCCTCAGGAAGCACGGCTCCCGCCCACGCCCACGCCCAGGCAGCCTGCACGCCACGTGAGAGAAACGCAGATGGAAGATTCTTGAAGAATCTTGACTTTGCTCTGTACAGAGAAGCACTAGAAACTGGTGGAACCGGGACTGCAGGTGACACGGACAGTCAAGCACCGGGTCCTGGAATCCTGTGACCGGCTCGGCTGGGTCAGACCGGAGTTTCCGCCCGTCCTTCCCAGACAGAGCCTTGTCTAAGGCGAGCCAGGGCTGAGACCACCCAGGAGGCTCAGCCACGCCCTCTCTTTGGTGGCTAAAGCGGCCCTCGGCCGTCTCTGAGGGGGTCCCTGTGTTACTAGCATATCCTCAGTGACCATCCTCTAAGGAAAGCCAACTTCTGACATGAACGTTTCCAGGAAAGCAGCATGAACGGTTTGGGTTTAGGTCCTGCAATGGGCTCTCCTGAGCCCTCCCGTGGAGCTCACACCGGCTGAAACACCGGGCCCTGCCCCTGGCGGGCTCCGCGCCTCCTCCAGGCCCTGGAAGGCCTCGCTGCCCCACTCTCTGCCTCCCCTCGCGTCCCCAGTCCCCAGCCTATGGGCTGGAGATCTCTCCTGGAAGCTACCAGCGACCAGCCCGGCCCGGCCTGGCCTGGCCCGGTGTGCACAACCTTAAGTAGGAGGCTCCCTGGACAAGGTCTTCTCCAAACCGTTCCGACACGAATTCCTCTTCTCAAAAGTAACTTCTCCAGCCTTGGCCAGTTTGGGTCAGTGGTTAGAGCATCGGCCCTTGGACTGAAGGGTCCCAGGTCCAATTCCGGCCAACAGCACCTCCGGTTGCAGGCTCCGCCCCAGTCAGGGGGGTGCAGGAGGCAGCCAGTCGAGGTGCCTCTCACACTGATGTTTCTCTCTCCTGTCTCCCCTCCCACCCTCTCCCCCTTCCTCTCTCTGCAAAGCAAAGGAAAAAATATCCTTGGGTGAGGTGAGAATTAAAAAAAAAATAACTTCTCTAAAGCAACTGAACACTTACAAGCGGACGAGAAGGACCCCTGGCTCCACGTCTAAGTCCTTTCAGCCACTCACTTGACGTTATCAGACTGAGGGAAGAGGAAGGGAGGG